ATTTCATTTATAATTACATTTAACCAATTAAAATACCTAGGGATAAACTTAACCAAGTTTAAAAATTCGTGCACAGAAAATGACAAGACATTGGTGAAAGAAATGAAAAAATATCTAATTGAAAAAAAAAGACATCCAATATTCATGGATTAAGAGACTTATTATTGTTAAGATTCAATACCACCTAAAAAAACTACAGATTCAACTCAATCCCTATCAAAATTTCACTAGTCTTTTTTTGTAGGAATGGAAAACACCTTAATTATATGAAATTGTAAGTGGCCTCAAATAGCCAAAATAACCTTAAAAATGAATACTAGAGTTGGAATATTCACAATTCCTGATTTCAAAATTTACTACAAAGCTAGAGTAATCGAAACAAAATGTGATATTGCCATAATGATAGACATAGAAGTCAATGGAGTAGAATTGAAAGTTGACAAATAAACCCATGCATCTTTGGCCAATTGATTGTTGACAACAGTACTACATCTATTCAATGAGGAAATAATAGTATCTTCAAAACATGGTGCTGGAGCAATGGGATTTGCACATGTAAAAGAATAAAGTTGGACTTCCACCTCACACCATATACAAAAATTAACTCAAAATGCATCATTGACCAAAATAGAAGAGTTTAAAACTATAAAACCCTTAGAGGAAAGCAGAGGGATAAGTCTTCATGACCTTGGATTTGGCAGAGGATTCTTAGATATCATACCAAAAGCATGAAGAAAAACAATGGAAAATTAGATTTAAAAGATGTGGTCTGAATCAAAATTAAAAATGTGCCTCAAAGGACATTATCAAGAAAGTGAAAAGACACATATATAATAAGGTTTTAATTTCCAAAATATACAAAAAACCTGCAACTCAACAACAATAAGATGAACAAGGCAATTAAAAAATGGGCAAAGGATATGAGCAGACATTTCTTAAAAACGATATACAAATGAACAGTAAGTACTTACAGAGAAGCTTAATGTCATTAGTCAATAGGGAAATGGAAATCAAAACTACCATGAAATAGATTTCACACCCACAAAGAAGGCAACTATCAAAACTCAGGAAATAACACGTGGTAGCAAGGATGTAGGAGTACCTGGGTGGTGCATACGGTTAAGTGCTAGACAATTAGCTGAAAGGTTTGTACTTCTAGCACACTCAGGGTCTCCTGGGAAGACAAGCTTGGCAATCTGCTTCCAAAAGGTCATAGCCTTGAAAACCCTACGAAGCAGTTGTACTCTGCACACATAAGATTGCCATGACTAGGAATCAACTCAATGGCAATTAACAACTACAACAGAGAGGATGTGGAAAAATTAGAACTCTCATGATTTGTTGTGGAAAACAGTTTTGTGTCTCCTTTTAAATTAGAATTACTACATGACCTAGCATTCTGCTTCCAGGTGTATACCCCAAACAACTGAAAACAGGGACTCAGATACTTGTACAACAATGTTCATTGTAACACTGTTCACAATAGCCCAAAAGTTGATGTGTCCAATAATGGATAAATGGATAGATAAAATATGGTATATAGAATATTGTGGCACAATAGAATATTATTCAGCCATAAAAAAGAATAAAGTTTTGATATATGCTCCAATATGGGCAAACCTTGAAAAAATTAAGCTAAGTGAATTAAGCCAGACATAAAAGTACATATATTGTATGATTTCATCTATATCAAATACCTAAAATAAGCATATTCATGGAGTCAGAAGGCAGATTAGAGGCTACCATGAGCTGCGGAGAGAGGAGAATGGGGATTTATTGCTTAATAGGTACATAATTTCAACTTGAAGTGATGAAAACATTTTGAAAATAAATAGTGGTGATGGTTGCACAACAGTGTGAATGCAATTAAAACTGTTCACTTAAAAATGGTTCAAATAACATACTCTATGTATTTTACCACAATAAAAATTTTTTAAAAGCAAATTGATAGTCTTCTTGTATAAAAAAGTCCAAATGTTGAAAATATTTGTTAAATTCATATTCAATTAAATTCTCAGACTATTTGAATTTCTTTTCTTACATATAGTTTATTCAAACTTTTTTATGCATAGTTGAATTCAAAACACAGCTGATTGGCAAATTTACTGATTAAATGTAAATACTATGAAGACGATACAAATGTGGTTTATTTTGATTAACTGGAGCCCTGGTGGTACACTGGTTAAGAGCATCACTGCTAATCAAAAGGTCTGCAGTTCAAATCCATCAGCCATTACTTGGAAACCATATGAGGTGTTCTACTCTGTCCTATAGTTTGGACATACGCGTTGGAATCAACTGGACGGCAGCAGGTTTGGTTTGTTTTTTTGTTTTTTGTTTTTGTTTAAGCAAATCAGGAAAATATAATTTTTTAAAAAGGATTCCATTGTCTGAGTTCATGGAATATAAGGAGACAACGTGAGATGAAGAGGATGAAAATGTTCCAGTATCAAATCTTTCAAAATCTAATTGAATCCATTTATAAATTAAGTACAATTTATCTGAAAATATAATTATCGGTAAAAAGTATAGACAGGTAGAAAAATCTGCTTTAGTTTCTCGGTGGTAATATACTCATAGATATGTGAGTTGACTCCTGAATTTATTATATAATAATATTGTAATAATAGTAATAGTAATATTTTTTCACAAAATTCCTTGATTCCTAGATTTCAACTTGCATTTATTCTTTCTGCCCTCTAATGCAATGCATATTTCTGAAGATACGTTGTGTGAATATACAATATGGCAACTATTTAGACATGCATAAAGAATGTTTATAATTTAAACAATGTAACCTGAAATTGTTGTGTTGTCAGTTGCCTTCAAGTCCTTCCAACTCATAGCGACCCCGTGTACAACAGATCAAAACACTGCCAGTCCCGCTCCATCCTCACAGTCGTTGCTCTGTTTCAGCCCATTGTTGCAGCCACTCTGTCAATCCATCTCATTGAGGTTCTTCCTCTTTTTGGCTGACCCTATCCCAAGCATGACGTGCTTCTCCAGGGACTGGTCCCTCCTGATAGCATGTCCAAAGAGCATGAGACGAAGTCTTGCCATACTCACTTCTAAGGAGCATTCTGGCTGTACTTCTTCCAAGTCAGATTTGTTCATTCTTCTGCAGTCTATGGTATACTCAATATTCTTCGCCAACACCAATTTCATTTAGATTAAAACTTCTTAACGTTTAAATATAAAAATTCATATTAATAGAGCAGAGAATTTACTAGGCTATAAGCTATAAGAATCAAAATAGCAAATACTGTACACTTGAAGTGTATGATGTAAAATAAAATAGAATGAATCCAACCACGTAGGAAAGCATATTAAACTAAGAACTGGGACTTTTTATTACCTTTTAAACATATCATTTTACCGTCTTCAAATCAAAAAACAAAAAAATAGAAAGAAAAGTAAATGTCAAGTAGAATCACTAAACTGAGTATTACCTTAGCAAATTAAACTTTGCCTAGTAGCAGAGTAACTTTCTATTCATTCATCACTTCATGCTAATTTTACAAATTAACGTGGTTACTACAGAATATGTATTATGTCAGTTATAGAAATGTGATTTCCATTATCATTCCATTCTCCTTATATCTATGTTAATAAGTCTTAAAAATAGCTTTGAATCATAATTCCCTGATAAAAGTTTCTTCAAGGGCCCACTAGTTTAGCTTGGTTACCCAGAATTAACGTTTTTCATTATATTTAAAAATGATTTCAAATACTGAAATTCTTATCATCCCAAAGTAAGGGTCTAGATGTTAAAAAATAATAGTAAAATGAGTAAATGCAAAAGATGTAATCATACATTTTTAATGTCCTTAAATGATCCAGAAGGCACTTGGAGAAATGTGTTTAAGAGCAGAAAATTTAGACTCAGAACATTCCATTACTAATTTTGCTCTGCTACTTATTAACCATATAAACTTTCCAAATATCATTTACCTTGTGTACACTTTGAGGACTATAGTAGACTTTACAAGGTTATTGTGAAAATAAAATAATTAAATGTATGTAAAATACTAAGCTCATTTCCATTTTTATAGAGTGCGCGCAACAAAATTTTGGAAAGAAATCCAGTACAATAATTTATATACTTCTGGAGCCTGATTATTATTATTATTTTTAATGGCAGTGCACATTTCACAGCCACCCAAACTTAAAATTCCAGTGTTGCAGAGAAAAGTCTCCAGACCTTGATCAGGCAAAATTTAGAGGATTCATTAAAGCATTTAAGAGATATATTCAAACTGGGAGGCATCAATCCACAAAGTGAAACCAACTAGTCCTGTGAGGGAGCTTTGAGGGCAAACAGTTACAGAGCAAAATCAGGAAGTTACATCACAATACTCTGGTTCTTTGTGAGGTAAAGGGATCAGAGGTGGGACATGTCAGAGGCGGGGGGCTTGTACTTCACTGGCTACATTTGTCCACACCCATTCCCTTTGAGTGATTCCAACTCATAGCAATCTTATAGGACAGAGTAGAACTGCCCCACAGGGTTTCCAAGGAGCGGCTGATGCATTCGAACTGCCAAACTTTTGGTTAGCAGCCAAGCTCTTAACTACTGTGCTACCAGGGCTCTTACTTTAGTCCCGATGGGCTAATCAGATTAATTACAAACTTAATTGCAGAAGTACGTGCTGGCTCAAAAAATTACAAACAAGAGTCACAAGATGCCTACAATACATATTTTCCAGAACAGGTTGCAAAAGCAACTTGCTTAAGGCAACTCATTTCCTAGAGACAACTTGTAAAAAAGGCTGCAGTGTCCATTTGCTTCAAGACCCCCTCTCAAGGTACTGTTGTAGAGCTTAATCACAGAGTCCGCTTAAAGTAAAAGCAAAGAGTTTCATTGAGAGAGATAACAATTCACGAATTGGGAAACACAAAGTCAAGAGACTTTCAACAGTGTTCCACAGAGGGAAAGTGCAAACGGTTTTTACTGAGGAGAGAAAACAAGTGTACGTGATGACAATCATGGCGGCTTGGAAATACATGTAGCTATAAGACAATGATCATTAAGGTGGTTTTTCCAGGGCAAGGCTTATTCGTTGCACTCCGGATATGCTGACCCCTGCGATTTCCCCAAATGTAGGAAACTTAACTGCATAATATGTGGTAATGGGGCACTGCGTTAGCACTTTAAGGAGCCCTAGTGAGACCAGCTAGCGACAGAAAAGGCCTTAAATGACAAGTTATGCTGGTTAAAAAAATTTTTCTAGAAGAATTGCACAAAGGCTGTTTGCTTCCTCCTATCTGTCCGCTTGTGACTGTCTTTCAGATCAGCCAATTAGAACTAGAATCCTGGGCATGCGCAGTAAGAGACCAGGTTGACCTTCAGACGGCCTCATCCCATAACTATTGCCTAGGAACCAAAATCACCCGACATATGTCCTTTAGTGGGAACCGAGCCCATTTCAGAAGCGAGAAGTCCGTCAGCCATTTCTGTGCCAGAATCCTACCCCGCCTCTTTATGAATATATATAAAGTTAATGAATATGTATGACTTCCCCTTTTCACGTGGTATAAAACTGCACCCCCAGCCCTTTGTTCGGAGAGAGAGTGCTTTTGGGGAGGATTCCCCCTCCTCTCCTTACTTGCTGCGAGTAATAAACTATGCCTTGCTTTAAACCTGCGTGACTCTTAGTTATTCTTAACGAGAGTACAAGTGGCGAACCCATTAGGTCCGGTAACAAATTCCCTGGTACCCCAGGTGGGACCCTAATTGGGGTCCCCCCCGAGTCAACTATCTGATTGGACAGACTTTTCCTGGACGGGCTTGTGGTCACCTGAACTCTCTTTGTGCAGTGCCCCTCAGGCTTGGTAAGTTCAAACTCTGAGAGTTTACTTTCAATTTGGCTCAAAAGAAAGACATAGAATTTTCTTTATTGTGTGTGTGTGTGTGTGTGTGTGTGTGTGTGTGCATGTTTTTTTTTTCCCGGGTTGTGTGTTTCTGGTTGGTGCACCCTGAATCTGGGAGGTTGGCGTAGACATTTCTGTCTATTCAGATTGTGAGATTGAAACCCTCCAGCCTGGCCTGGCTCTGAGGCGTGGATGTGAAATTCTCCAATTGGCACCGAATTGAGAGAGTGAGGTTAGAAGTCCCTCCATCTGATTTTGGGAATACATGGTATCTGGAAGACTGATGTGGGGGCTGGACCTCACTAAGATCATCTTTGTTCCCGTTTCCCTCTCTGGCTTGTCTGGTGTGAGTACTCTGTTTGTCTGTCTGTCTTATGTGTATAGTATATGGAAACTGATTGGTGGAAAGAAATTCAGGTTGAATTAGAACATACCTGTAGAGACTCCTAGGAGTTTATTGATTGGGCTAAAGAAAGAGATACATGGGAGAGAAGATTTTCAGTATAGACTGGGATTTGGATCACAATACAGGGAATGCTCTCGACAGAGTGTTAAGATTTCAAAAATAGGGTTTCTCCAGAATCTGGGAAACTTCTCGCCTGCAACATGAGAGACAATAAATTCCTATTGGACTAGGAAGAAGAAAAAGCTGGTGGTATAAACTATCCATAAAAATAAATAGCTAGGTTCTTGGGAACAGTTAATTGAACAGAATGGGAAATCAGGAAAGCACACCAGGAGATTCACCCCTAGGGTGCATTCTTAAACATTGGCAATTTTATTCTTATGATCAATTAAAGAAAAAGAAACATATTTTTCTGCAACACTTCCTGGCCTGGGTATACCATCACTGACCAGGAGAAGTGGGCTTTGTATGGGTGTCTGAATTTTAATACTATTTTACAGCTGGATTTATTTTGCAAGAAGGAGGAAAAATGGGATGAAATCCCCTATGTACAAGCCTTTTTGGCCTTCTACCAGAATAAGAGGCTACAAACAAAATGCAAATTGACCGCGTAGCTCTAGCTGCCAAAGCTCAATCTAAAAAGCCTCCAAAGGAATCTGCAAAATCAGATCTTTTGGAGGATCCCCTCTTGAATTGAAGTCCGGCCCTGATCTCACCAATATCTCTACCTGAACCTTCAGCATAGCTCCTTCTCAGCTCCCCTTCGCCTGCTGTTTCTGATCCTATCCTCAAGATTCCTTCTGCCCCCGCTTCCCTTACTCCTCATTCAGGACTCACAGCCTCTTTGATGGCGGGTCCCAGCAAGCTTACCTCTACCCCTATTGTTGGTCCTCTGTCCTCACAACATTTATCTTCCCCTCCCAAATTCTAAAAAGACTCCAGCTGGGTTGTATCCCCTGCTAGAGGTGGCAGATGGATAGGGCAGTGTGGTCCAGCTACAGGTCCCCTTTTCTGTTTCAGATTTAAGTGTGTGTAAAGAGAAACTGGATAATTTTCAGAAGGCCCAGAGAAATTTAGACAGGAGTTTGTTAAGCTCAGTCTTAACTTTGTTCTCCGTTGGCAGGATGTGATAGTAGTTCTGCCTACCTGTTGTTGTACTGATGAAAAGAATAGAATACTAGCTAAGGCAAGAGAGCACAATGTTTTGAAGCCAGGGGTGAAGTAGTTCCTGAAACCAGTCCACAATGGGATTACAAGAACCAACTAGATTGGGCAAGAATGAAACATTTTATAACGTGTGTGGTTGAGGGAATGAAAAAGTGTGTCCATAAGCCAGTTAACTAAAGGTCAAAGAAATAACCCAAGGAAAAGATGAGAACCCTGTGGCCTTCTTGGATAGGCTGATAGAGAACTGGAAGAAATTTACCAAAGTAGATCCAGAGGCACCAGAGGTCACCCCTCTGCTGGGTCTGCATTTTGTAACCCATAGTGCCCTAGACATTAGAAAGAAACTTCATAAGTTAGAGGCTGGCCCCCAGACCCCATAGTCCAAGTTAGTGGAATAAGCCTTTAAGGTTTTTAACAACAGAGACAAGGCAGAAGAAGATAGAAAGGATAGGACGATAGAAAGGCCCAGTTGTTGGCTGCAGTTATTCAAGGTCCACCTCGAAGTAACCTCTGGGGGCCCAGGCTGTCACAAGTAAGTAGCTGACCTGACAGACCTTGGAGCGCCCTTCAGGACTGCCAGCAAAGCTGGGGCCCCAACAATGTGCATATTGCAAAAAAGAGGGACACTGGAGACAGCAGTGCCCAGACCATCCTCAATTGGGAAGGCTAGGATCCTACCCCAATCGTGACCCTAACTTGCAGTTGCCACAGCTTTCTGAGTGACGAGGCCCAGCGGACTACCTAGCTCCTGCAAAACAACGACAGACTATCTCCATTTCCCCTGCAGAACCTCGGGTTACTTTTGACATGGCAGATTAGAAAGAGTCACTCTATGGGTCGATCACTCCTAGGTCAAGCCTTTTGTTCCTCCTGGACAGCAAGATGAACTCTCTACAAGCCAAGACTCCTACACCTGTGAACCAGTTGAAGGCCTCAAGTGGCTGTTTAAAAGACAGAACAAGGTTCCATAGATAAGTATTATGAAAATAAATGTAAAAGAAATACTGAGAGTTGTCTTCACCTTGACCATTCTCTTAATCTTTATTTTGGCTACAGTCTGTGTGATTCCCCTTTTTTGGACCAACTTATGTGCCTCGGTGTATGCTTTAATGAGTTGGTGCTGACACTAGGTGTGGTAGAAATCATCACCTAGTATTAACATGGGAAGTCCTAGTTGGAAACTCCTTATCCTTCTTAACATGGCCACAACAAGCTTAGCTCTTCCATTAACCCATTCAGCTTTAACATCCAGTAATGCCAACTATTAAATTAATGCTTCCCAAGCCATTGCTTCAAGAAACAATTTAACATATTGATGGATCTGTTATCAGACCCCAACAACTGTTGAACAAGGAGCACAGATCTCTTGAGTACCGTCCACCCCCATACACAATATTAACCTGGCAGCCTTTGAAACAGCTTTCAGGACAGAGCAACCCCTTCTTATATCTCCATTTCAAGTATCTCCCATACCTGTACTTCATGAAAGTAACTCCTGCTTCCAAATTTGGGACTTGCTAATGTCGACCAATTTTGTTCCCAAACTAGTACATTCCCCCTGAGTGTCCTGGGAATGCCTATCCCTTCACATGAAAATGAATGGCCCCCGAGGGGCAACAACCCAGTGCCTCTAAAGGATAAGTGATAATTTTACTAATTTCAGGAATAAGGTCAATAAAATCTAGAACAAAAATAAAATATAATCATTAGGAACCTACCCTGGTTGCAACTCAATGAATGCAGTCAATGTTGCACTATCACCACTTCAAGAGTCCTGGCTAAAACAGATCCTTAATCATGCTAGTTTGTTTAACAGTTCAACAGGTATTATCTATATGTGTCTCCCAAAAGGTTTGGTGTTCCTTTGTGGCAACACTGTGCTAACATGCATCAAGACTTTACATGAAAATAGAATATGTACCATTGGGTTTGCTCATCCCAACCCAGACCTCATTCAGATATATAGAGCCCTAACCAGGTAGAAAGAGGAATAGGGCTAATAATAGCAGAGATAGTAGCCCTCATTGGAACCTTCGCAGGAACCACACCTGGGTTCCTGTATCAGGGATCAGTAATATCAAACATCACTGCAATCGCAGAGATAGTTGCCCAAGATTTAGGGGAAGGAATTGGAGCCCTCAACATAGCCCTAAATTCACTGGCAAAAGTAGTCTTAGACATCGAATCGTTCTGGACTTCCTTCTCTCTGAGCAGGGGAGAGTCTGTACAGTTGCCAACAGCAGCTGTTGTACCTATGTTAATACTACTGGACAGGTAGAAATTAGAGCAAAACTCTACTTGACCAGGCTGAGTGGCTTTATAAGTTTAACCAGGGATCAAAAGCTGAAGACATATGACAAACAGTAAAAAATGTGCTTCCCTCTCTCCTGGCACCCTTATTCACTATTTTATTATTGCTCTTGTTTGGTACCTGTTTATTCAACTTGTTGATCAAATTCATTACTTCCAGAACTCAAAAGTTTTGCCTTCAGATGATGGTAGCTTAAGGATTCCAACTCATTCCATGCCAAGATCAAGAGGAAACGCAGCCACCCTATAAAGGGCCTTTTGAGATGCATAGAAAATACAGTAGTTTAGCTCAGGCAGCAAGAGAATTCTACTTCTCTAATCAATAGAACCCTGCATCCTTTATCAGCAGGAAGCAGCTTCAGAAGAAGAGACTTCCATCCCTAAACCCCTCAAGAATGAAGAGCGTGAAT